CACACACACACACACACACACACACACACACACACACTTCTGCAGACCAGCTGGTCATTTCCTCAGTCATTTTCTACTTCTTGAGGGATGGACGTTATGTACAAGATGCTCTGTAGCTTATACCACACAACAAGCAGAAGATTAGATCCAGCACCCACCCTGCCTGGTCCGCAACCGTCAAGTACTGCTGGAGCGATTCCCCCGTATTTGGCCCCACTTGCAGGGGCTTGCAATTTGCTGCCCCAGCTGCTGCCTTCTTGTCATAGCAAGCGCCCACAACTCTCTTCTCCACGCCTTCCTCAAGATCCAGGAGCTGTTTGAGCAGCTTGTCTTCATCCTATCACAACAGGTAAATCAAGTACCGAGGTAAATGAGCGAAAAAATGCAAAGGGGGTAAGCTGGCCAATTTGCCAGACATGCTCTTTATCCTAATTCTTTCTCAAATCTGACCATGCCAACCATTATTACTTACATAAATATTATATTTGACAAAAAATGGAAAATTTTGGAGGACCCCAGATCACTCTCCTGGCCTCAGATCACCCCAAATTGGCCTACAACTCCACCCTGGGGTAATTTTTCACTTCCAAAATTCTATGTTTGTAACCCCCATATACACTGCTAACATCCTGCATATTCAAAAATAGGAAATGAGGGGTCATTGTTTGATTTTTGGCACCCCCTGTGCTGCAATTTCTCCAAGTAAAATGGCTGAAATTCTGTACCTCACCAACCGCTGGGTCCTTCCACTCCATTGTTTTAGCAACAATATTTCTTTGGTAGGAGGGCTCCAAATCACCAAAAATCACCTAATTGGGTGCCGTGGGTGGTCAGTGATGGGGATTGGCTGGTGAAAACTATGGTTCACGCCGCGGCTGATTAGGCCCGTCTCCCGTGACTGGTAATCTTGAGAAAGTATTACTAGTAGTGCTGTGGAAAACAAGCTTGAAGATTACCGGTCATGTGAGGTATACGCAAGGAGCATGCAAAAAACACCTGATTTTGGGCCTCAGCTTAACCCCTCTGGAATAAATGCTGTGCAAGGAAAAGGAAAAAAAGGAAAAAGACTATGCAGGCAGAGAACGCTCCCCCTACATCAATTGATGGAAGGAGACACATCAGCTCCAACAAGCCGTGAGTCCCTTCACCACAATCCCATGGAAAAAGCAAGTTGGCAGGTATCTCAAGGACAACAAGGAGCACCTTGCTCCGAATCCGACTGCGCGCCTAGTAGTGGCAAGTTTGTGCAAACTTAAGCAAGGAGTCCATGCTCAAGTCAAGAGGCTCGTTGGTGATCAAGGTCTAAGCTTTTGAATTGATTCATGGTGTGTTACTTACAACAAGGAGAAGAGATGTATGAACCAAGTTTCCCTCAGCTTCCGTCCCCGACTGCAGCAATAATAATAACCATTGACCACTGAACACTTTCCATCCAGAGGTGCAAGTAATAAAAAGCTGATGCAAGTCGAAAGAGCAACAACTTCAAACTTGCCGTAATGGTGTGCCCGAGAAGGTTGACTTGGATGCCATGAGCTTCTGCCTCTCTCAGCCTACGCACAGAGTTCAGAAGAATAGAGCAATCTTTCACAGGGCACCAAGTCGAGAGTGTTTGTATTCATGTGCTGCCCCTGTACTTTTGTAATGCAACGGTGCATCCCTCACATGAGTGGCATCTGCTTGTATTGGGGCCGGTACTGAAATTTGATACAGACCAACACCTTATGTCGGTCATATGAAGATGATGCATGTCGGCTGATCGAGTAAACAAGGCAAGAGTTGGGCTTAAACCAACAGAAGAAAACAAAAAAACTCTGCAGAAGCACATGCATCATATTGTAGCAGCTGATCAGCCTCACGGACATGAACACACCTTTGCTCAGGCTCCTCCTCGCTGCAATCAGCACTCTCACTGCAATGATCACTCTTTGTGGAGCCATCCTCTTCTTCCCCGCCTCCCTTGTATGGTTCCCTGCGTGTGCAAGTAGCATGCATGCAAGGAGGAGTGATTCATACACTGGGAACACCCTACTCGAGTCCCCCCTAAGTTATGTGTATGTGTGTGTGCAGCCTCCTTAAATGCCTCCTCAAAGAGATACGGACCTCTGTAAACCCTGCACAGCAATTTAAAGACCCCATATCAATTTGCAGGCTTCCTTGAACCCCTCCTTATTTTCTGCAAGCCTCCTTGAACCCCTCCTTGTTTTTCTGTAAGCGTCCTTCAACCCCTCCATGTTTTCGTGCAAGCCTCCTTGATCCCTCCTTGTTTTTCTGCAGGCCTCCTTGAACCCCATCCTTGTTTTTTGCAGGCCTCCTCAAACCCGTCCTTTTTTTTCTGTAGGCCTCTTTAAACCAAGTGGCATGCATGCAATTTGCAAAGGGGAGTGATTCACACACCGGCAGTGCTGCATGCGCCCGACTGCTTACTTCGGAGCAAAGTTGCATCCATGGAGACTCTTGGATGTGCCATGCAGCATGCTTCGAGGTCTTTGTTTTCTTTTTTGAAGAAAAAGGTGCGAGGTGCTTGGAGAGCCGTTCAGCTCCTTTTATAGGTGTCAGAACTTACCCGCTGAAGTCAGAAGCCTGGTTTCCCGCGCTAACTACATCATCTCCAGTCTCGTGATTTGCTGTGAGCTGCCTC